CAATTATTCCACGAGCGCGCGTTGGATATGAGTTGGCTATAATCATCTCATATCCAACAAGCGCGAGTGGAATAATTGCTAAATATATCACTACATCATCACTGTAAAGTCGATCATGTTGAGTTCACCATTCTTTTTCACTTTTCTAGGTAGTTTTTTTTATTTTCGGGATCTTGCGCTTTGATGGGAAATCAAAAGTGAAGTAGCGGAGGTGCGCAGCACACTAGACACAAATGTTAACCTCGAAATTGCCATTGTCTTCGCAGTATGAATTCGGCGGATGATGTAGTGATATATTTAACAATTATTCCACGAGTACTTGTTGGATATGAGTTGGCTATAATGATCTCATATCCAACAAGCGCGAGTGGAATAATTGCTAAATATATCACTACATCATCACTGTAAAGTCGATAATGTTGAGTTCACCATTCTTTTTCACTTTTCTAGGTAGACTTTTTTATTTTCGGGATCTTGCGCTTTGATGGGAAATCAAAAGTGAAGTAGCCGAAGTGCGCAGCACACTAGAGACAAATGTTAACCTCGAAATTGCCATTGTCTTCACAGTATGAATTCGGCGGATGATGTATAGAGAATACTTCATGGAAAGTGCTGGCGTACGGTATTTACGCACGAGTTGTTGACGAATCAGAAATCGAACGAGTGAGCGCAGCGAACGAGTAAGATTTCTGATACAAAAACAACGAGTGCGTAAATACCGTATAAAGCACTTTCCATGTGGTATTGTGTGTATTATATACATACTAGGGCCATTTATACGAGGAAAAATAAGACGCGTCTTACATAATATATACATAATAAATGGTACAGTTCGCGTCTTATTTTTCCTCGTATAAATGGCCCCACTGAGACATTCATCATTTTGGCGGCCTTTCTTTTTATTTTAAATGTTTCAAAAATGCTAAAATTTGCCGCTACACACTTACCGCAAAATGACAACGAAAACGAAGTATCCGCTTTTTAGTAAAAAGGTTTGTTAAAAACATAAATGACGGTGAGTCTATGAGGTAATCCAAGAACTATATGTAATCTTAACTGTTCGTTCTCAATGCACAATTGAAAATGAGAGAATTTAAGTAAAATGGCAGGTAAAAGTAGCTCGGACAAAAAGCACAACAAAAGCTTACGTCTCGTTCTGTTTATCCCTTTCCGCTGTTGTTTCGCCGGCTCTGTACCGTTTTCTTTATCGACAGTCAAACAAACGAAACTATTCCACTCCATTTCCGAAATGTTTTTCACTTTTTTAGCGAGAAAAACTCTTTGAGTAAAACTTTTCTCGTTGAATGTGTGCGAAGCGGCGCGGCAAGCTGCAATAACAGGCGGGAATTTTGGCGCGAAACTCACACACCTTTGTGGCTTCTGATTGGACGTATCATTTTTCTCACACGTGAAAAAACATCGTTCGCGATTCTGATTGGACGCATCATTTTTTTCACGTGTGAAAACCATCGTTCGCTCATCTGATTGACTAGAACTAATTTGCGTACGAAAATTTACGACATAGCTTTTTGGTAAGTATTTCTCAGTATGTATATAATAAAGTGATATATTTAACAATTATTCAACGAGTGCGCGTTGGATATGAGATGGTAGATAGCCAACGAGTTGGCTATAATCATTTCATATCCAACAAGCGCGAGAGAAATAATTGTTTTATTAAAAACGCCCACAAAATATCGAGAATTCTTCTCAATTTTATTTGTAACTAAAACAACCGATTTTCAGCTTGTTTTTAGTTTTCGGCAGACGCGTACAGTTACCATATTTGAAGAGCATGGTATAGTGGTTCATATACCATGATGGCTAAGCCAATCGGAACTTTAGAATTGCATTATCCAATGATTCAGTTTTTTAATAAATAAATATATATGCTGCAGTTAATTTTTTATTTAGTTAATTTTTGTTTTTCCTTTGTTTTAAATTCATTAGAATACATTACAATACATTACCCTCGCGTCCTCTTCACGTCCTCTGTCTCCTCTTGGACCCTCCTCCGATAATTGTTTTATTATTCATTCAAAATAATTCCTAGTTTAAAAACATGGCTAAAACATGCTTACCTGAATTCAATAAGGTTTGGATGGAGGGTCTCAATGGCGTTTTACTGTCAGCCGTCAAATGGCCTAAAAATTAACCGTCAACAGTCACAAAAGGCTATTTTTTTTACCGTCAACTGTCAAAAATGCAGGTTAAGATTAACCGTCGACAAACTTTAAATTATGTCAAATCTCACTATTTCAGCTGCTCTTCACAACATGCCGGGCGGGTTCGGGGGGTACGGACCGCCCCATCAGACCTGAAGCTTGTTTGAGACTGAAATTCTTTCATCGACTGGCTGATTTTTTAATGCATGGAACGCTCGTTGCATTTTGCCACTAAACTAAATTCCAGGGATATTCGTTACCCTCCACCATCCTCTATATCCGCCCGTGTTAAGTTGAAATCATCACAAGTTTCCTTTTCTCTTACTGAAAAGTGACTAAGACAGGGAGAATTATTTGGCCACAGAATAGACTAAGATGAGGCAAGAGAGAATGAGCTCATTCTCTCTTGGATGAGGTGGGCGTTCTGATAAGCCAACGGTACAATCCCAGCGAAAATGTACCCCAAGCATCCCCCCTTCTCCCGCTATGAGGCACCGCAAAGCTCCTTGAGTCGAGCAGGAAATGTTTAGGTTTCCTAACCTTTTCCGGGGGGGCAACCCATAGAGTAGAGCATTAGCATTACTTATTTTTTTGCATTTGCAGGCTAAAGCACGAATAAGTATTTCCGTACTCTAAAACAAACGATTACGTCTCGCACGCGCTATATTCATTATTCCGAAATATTATTAATGTATGTGCAGCTATGATTGGTAAAGCAGGGTCAGGGCGCGCGGCCGATTTTGAAATAATTCCTTGTCTAGAAGTTCCGATCCGTTTTACAAGTATTAAGTTTTAACTTGTTTAGAGACATCCGTTGTATAATATCACGTACTCACGGTCTAGCCTCACGGCCTTAAATACATTTCATAAAAACATATATAACCATTTAACAATAATGTTCAATTTAGTAGAACACTGCAAAACTGCAATTACCGAAACCTCTGTGAGAAGGGTAACTTGTTATCTTAGGGGTACTTGAAAAGACTATAGTTATACTAAATGACCCGTGAACGTTCTTTCACTTTTTTGTCAGGACATCACGTGCCAGGTACTATATGCAATTTGTACAATGTGACCAAGTTTTCCCTTTTTTAGTCTATTGTCCATTACATCTAGTAGTTTCATCTCGCTTCCAGCCATGGGAAATATCTTGGACGGTTTTTTTCAACGTGAATTCCTAATTTGAAATTAATATGTCCGCTTCAATTTCAGTGAACCTTGTGCAAGTAGTGTTGTTTTTTACAACATTAATCTCGGATGGAGACATCGAAAGAACTCGGAACTCGGAAGTCGGAAGTCGATATACTTCTTTTCGCAGCCCTGCCAACTTTAACCTTTCCAAACGACATATTTTTAATTTTTCTAAAAAACATTTTGTTACAAAACATTTTATTTTAGTACACGAAATATTAGGCACCGATGTCAGCAAAAACGTCGCTTAAAAGTGAATTCGTGTTCTTTCAGTCTTTACGCGATTATCGCACAGGAATACCCACTTCTGACTTCCGATTGTTGACCTTTCCATTTTCTGTAATTAATCTAAATTGATGTCTTTGAAAGATAATAGAGACTTTAAGATCCGACGACGTTACGGCAACGAGAACATCAAAAGAAAAAACGAACAAACAAACAAACAAGACGAAAAAGTAAACAAACAATAGGTTTAGCACGCAAAAATAAAAACTTTGCACGCGCATCACCCTTTTTTGTAAATTCTCCGCCGTCTTTGCACTACTCTACGACGTGAAGTTGCCTAATTTTACGTGTTATGGCGGACGTAAACAAGCGACGACGAAATTACCAACTGCTCTTTTCTAAACTCAGGGGCACCCAACGTCAATCTTCGGAAAATATCTGTTCGGAGGACGATTTGAGATCTAGAATTTTCGGAACATTTATTGTAAAATTTCTTGCTTGCCTGCCTCTCCTAGGATTTTCGAACATCTAAAAAATGGTATAATTGCTCATTTTTAACGGATTTTTGCCCTTAAAAGGTCACCTAGAATTTTCGGGAGCCTTTTTTCTGGCTGAAATTTCGCAAAGTCAAGTTTTGATCCCTATAATTTTCGCATCACTAGACTTTCAGCTAGGAAATCCGAACAGATGAAAAATTTTTAGGGGATAAAAATATGCCTATATCTACTGTTTAAATACTAAAATACGTTTAACAATGCTATGTTTAAGTGGTTTTGAACTATATTCTCGTTGGGTGCCCCTGATTATACTGTGATGATCTTCTTTACATTTGTTTCTTCATCTTGCAGTTCAAATATATGAAATTCATAACATCATCATTTCATCTTTATCTCTCCTGGGTATATTACTAGCCAATTTGGTTAATTGCTACCCAGTAGCTAGTCTGCTACACAGCCGTTTTTAGTGTCGTCACGCAACGCTCCTCCCCACTAATGTTAGTGGGGAGAAGCGTTGCGTGACGACACAAAAAACGGCTGTGTAGTAGACTACCCAGTAGCTTAATTGGTCAGAGCGCTTAACCAGTATCGCAGACGGAGGTCATGGTTCGATCTAATCATGGCGAGCCTAAATTCTTTTCAGGCTTCCTTTTCGCAACTGTATATCCTGCGTGTTTAACTCTGATGATCTTCTCGCCATGTATTTCTTCATCCCGCAGTTATTAAATATATGAAATTCAAATATTCATCATTTTTAATTATTACTTAAAATCTTGTAATCCTAGAATGCGAAGCTTGCAACGAGACTCACGTGGGTGCAGACAGTGGTGTCCTTCAGTCTCCAAATTTCCCTCACAATTACCCGGATGAAGTGTACTGTTCCTGGAGTTTCACGGTCAACCAATCACAGCACGTGTTTTTGATGTTCTCAAGATTCAGTTTACAGGCCGAAAACAATACAGATGCCGTTTATGTGTACGATGGAGGGAATACCACAGGGAAGGTGTTGGGAGTGTTTTACGGAGGACACCCACCCCCTGCGGATGGACTCTATTCTTCATCAAATAAAATGTTTGTTGTCTTCAAGTCGGACAACAATAAATCTTTCTCTGGTTTCAAGGCTTCCTATCACGCCTTGACGTGTTCTGGTGAGAGATGTTTCAGTATAATTACGTGTAATTACGTGTAATTCGGTACCGTAAAATTCCGAAAATAAGCCTCGGGGCTTATACTTTTCAAAGGCCCTTTTTGAGGGGCTTATTTTTGGAGGGGCCTATATTCGGAGGGGCTTATGTACGGAGGGAAATTTGCGTTTCAAAATCGATTGGGCTAGCTTGTAGTGGAAAGGAAATTTACCATTTTACTTCGTTTTACTTTGTATTCAAGGGCAAATTCCAAGTACAAGCCCTCCGGGGGGGGGGGGGCGTATATTCGGAGGGGCGATTTAACGGAGGGTTTTTTGCGTTACGATTTTAGGGGCTTATATTTGGAGGGGCTTATTTTCGGAATTTTACGGTATATTGCCGTCCTTTGTCTCAGAAGTGGTATTTTGAGCGATTTCGTAGGATTTTGATTTCGTCCGTTTCCATGCCAGTAGTAGTAGTTGAAAGAAAATTAGCCTGAATAAAATTGTCCCTTCCCTACAGCAGCAGCCAGGAGGGAGGAGGTGGTATATTTAGGCTATATATGTATGTGCCGCCCCAAAGGGTTGGGTACTTGAGCCGTTTTGGATTTAAAACGGATATAGATGGGCTGAAGTAGGGCATTGTTTTCAATGGAACCACGAGAGTGTATCGAAACGTTTTTGCCCGCAACAATGTTCAGTGTCAAAAACTTGAAATGGTGACCAAAAAAAATATCAATTAGTTGACTTCACTTCACAAGGTAATGATTTTGTAAACCGATTATAACCTTCAGAAGCCAGGCCTTAAAACGAGTTCTAAAAAAATGACATTTGTAGCTCCGTGTGAAATAGGGTCAGAATTTGAGGAACCGGGAGGCAAACCCCCACCAAGAATTCCGAAGAGTACACCTCGGGACACCTCGGAACAGTACGTACCAGCTCACTTTCAACAGAGATCGTGAGGCCTAGTTAAAAGCAGAGTACAAATTGATCGGAAGTGAATAGGAACAAATAGGATCGTTTTTCATTTTTCTATTATCCCATCCCGAAAGCCCTTTCTTTATTCCACGATAGAGTGTTTTCACATGACGTCACGGTGGCCATCCCAAAACAATAAAACGGCGGTCATGTTGGTGTTCTAAACAAATCCTGCGGGAGTTGAACTCTTTTCTTATGCAAACGCTTTCTTTTGTTCCAATAAATTTGCATAGATGCTGGCCACGTTAGTGAAAACACTCTATTACATCCTTAAGAGAGAATTCTTTCATTATTCCAACCCAAACATTTCACAGTCTGTCATTTCATTATCCCACCCTCCGAAAAGGGCAATATTTCAACCCGAAAATTTCCGTCATTCATTCCCATTATATCTCCTCCGCCCCCGATAGTTTACTGGGTAACCCTAGCATATAAGTCCGTGAGGAAAGTAAACATTAATTCGTTCATGGGAAATAACAACCTTGGAAGGTTCTATGGTGAGTAAGAGCTGGATTGGAAACTGAGAAAAAAAACTTAATCCTCAATACAATGGATGAACCCCGGGGAAGGGGGTACTTTAGGGATTTTTGGGTTGGGATGTGCAGATGGGACCCTGGAACCCTTAGCCTATACTAGAGCTCGTTCAAGTGAATTTTGCTACCCTGTACTAGACTAAACTCCCAAACCGCCTCCTAGCTGTTTTCCAGAAACTACTGAGGTCACAAATACAGTCCAGCCAAAACAAATCCGATTTGATTTTTTCATATTTTTGAGTGGCAATTCCAGGTACGGTTTTCCTGAGTCTAGACTAAAATCTTCAACCAAATGATCAGTTTCCTGAAAAAAGATACCCTATTCTAGACCCAAACTCTCTGATTTTTATACCCTATCCCAGAGTAGACTGCTTGGAAACCATACCCCTCACAGCGACACATACCTATATAGCCCATATATGGCAGTATCCCCCCCCGGGGGGGGATGAGCCTACACAGAAACGCTGCTAAATGGAGGTCTCACCTTTTTGACATTGATATTTAAGAGAAATTACTTTCCTCAAAGCAAAGTCTCGACTCTGTGTTGAGGCTTAGAAATTGTCGAAATTCAACAAACTCTTAACTATTCTCTTTGTTTGTTTTTGTTTTTGTTTTTGTTTTTTGGTTTGGTTTAAATGTGAAGACCCTCTTGGAATGGAAAGTAAAATCATTAGTGATGCCCAGATCAGCGTGTCTTCATTTTGGTGGTCCTTGTGGTTCTGGTACGGGAGTCCTAGTGACGTAAGGTTGAAGAATTCTGTCGGGTGGAGAGCAAACAAGGATGATCAAAACCAATGGATTAAAGTAGATCTTCGTAGATACACCAAAGTAACACGTGTCGCGACTCAGGGCGGTAGATCTAGAAATTATGGAGTATCTGGATGGGTGACAAACTTTAAGATCCTTTATAGCCTTGACGGAGTCTTATGGCAGATGTACAAAGAGCCTGGTAATTCAAATGCTTCAGTCAAGGTAAGAAGCAGAACTTGCTAACAACCTACAAATTTGTCAGTTATCTGCTAGCAGACTAACTTTGCTGTGGCTGGTTGCCAGATCATTTCTAAAATTAGCTGTTGGCTCTTAGCCAATGAGAAGGCGGGTGAGTACAATGTGTAATAATTTGTATAAGCTGCACACGAGGAATCTGTTGCCCTGCATTTTGTCAAACTTTTCTAACTTCAAAATCCAATTTTTGAGGACTAGACGGTGTACAACGTTCAACAGAGAGGAGAAGTGTAACCTCACGTTACCATGGTAGCAAAATTTTTGGATCACAGCAATAGAAAGCTTGAGCAACGACGACGGAGACTTCAACGACAGCGGTAAAAAAGAAATAGGTTTATATTAGCAAAATAACAACTTTGCACGTGCATCACGCGTTTTTGTATATTTCTTAGCCGTCGTTACACGACTGCGACATGAAACTTCCTAATTTGACGCGCCCGCTTTATCGGATAGGTGAGCACAACACAAAAATTATGTTTTTCTTTTTCTAAACTTAGATACGGCCCCTTCAGATTCTACCCAGAAAATGTTGCCAACATTTGACAAATTAAATGAAACTAAATAACATCGATGAAGTTTGAAGCAGTGCGAATCCACTTTTTAAGTGACGTTTTGATTTGTGGTCATCCAGAAATTTCGCTACCATGGCAACTTGACTAATGACTTTTCCTCTCTATAAGCGAGCATTTCTATCCTTTTGATCTTACTGACTAATAAAAACGTCACAACTTGTAGACTAACAACAAAGGATTGCGCACCGTGAGGGAGCCCTTAACATAAACTGCAACACTCCCAGCTTTTTGCAGAATAACTAAGATACTAAGCGCGGGCTGATTGGCTGAGAGGTAGCCAATTAGAACGCAGGATTCGCGTGATCTTGCCCGCTCGCGGATTCAGCTATATCATAATTTGATTTATTTACCAATTTCTTCGACGGTTGAAACTAAAAACAATTTTCACAAAAATGCTGTTTTCTCGGCTTTATTTCCATGGAGAATGTTGTAACGTGGGTTATGTATATGCTTTGTATTTTCCATTACACTTTTAGGATATATTTTCATGCATGCTACTATTTTTTAGGTGTTTACTGCGAATCCTGGTAACTACAAAACCATCGTTTACAACCGACTGAATGAACCCATCGTAGCACGGTATATTAAAATTTTACCGGTGGCATGGCAACTCCACATATCAATGAGAATAGAACTCTACGGTTGCCGAGGTATTCTTTCTCAGTTTTAGTTTCTAGCCTTATATCAAGGGAAGGGCTGATCCCCCCCAATAGAAAAAAAAATAAAAAATGCTTAAAGCAAATAAAACACCAGTCTTAACCCCTTCACTGCCAGAGTGCTTGATGGAGTTTTTTAAGGCGATTCTAACTTTTGAGTCTGCAGACGAAATCCTATGATGTGACCATTCAAATGAAAGCTCTCTGCCTGTACTTACACATGGTGCTATTTGTTTGTCAAAATTTTAGCAAATGAAATTTGGACATTTGGTCGAAATTTGCCTTTGGCCACATTTGGCAGTGAAAGGGTTAAAGTGAGATCCCCCAGGCTGCCCTTAATCAGCCCTCTAAGGGCGCTTTCCATTTGTTAGAACTGACCGGCCAGATCGTCGCTGGAGCTGTTATTTGACAATGAAATAGGCTTTTCCCAAGAGTTTTTGCTGAAAAACCATCTCTTTCGTGCATAGTATTTAGGATTTGACTGATCTGGTTGGATAGTTTTGATCAAAAGTGAAATTCTCGTTACTACGAGAAGGGTCTGGCCGGTCTTGAGTTCTGACAAATGGAAAGCGCCCCAAGACGGATGCCTTTGCATATATGCCAACTCTACCGGATTATCCAAATGTGATACCAATCTCCCGGTCTCCAGTACGGGTTACCAAATCTCCCGGACAAAATCGAGTTATAAGCTTTTCTGTGCTTTAATTTACAATTTACTCAATTTTTTCCAAAATTCGAATTTTTTGCTATTCGATCATAGCTTGGTTTCTGAGACATTTTTGCACGTATTTCAACACTGATAACGATTATTACGCCGTTACAATCATGAAAGCGAATTTTGATAGCTCATGTAAGACTTCATATAGTGTCCTAAGCCATTCCCAAAGGGACTGGATCTAATTGTGCTTATAGCGGGTCAGGGTCGGGGGGAGAGGGTTGGTCGTCGATATTCGGGGAGGGTGATGCAGAAGAGAGAGGTTGTTTACAATTTACCACAAATTTCCGGACATTCCGGTCGGGATGTAAATGGTAAATGTTTTTTTGATTTGTCCCACTGGAAAATTCCGGGGACAAACGGAAATTCTGAAAAGGTAGTCCCGTTTTCCCGATTGGGACGTTCTGAATGGAAATTCGTTTTCCATTTACAAGTTTCTCTAGTTTCGTACTAGTTTCATGTTGTAACTGGAATCCAGTGTAGCGTGGCACCACAATCCGGGAATTTTAGACAAAAAATGGTAAACGACACGTACCGTTCTTACTGACCAAAAATTCCAAACCAAAATTTCCGGATTTTTTTTATACACCTTTTGCTGTTCATTACGAGAAAATACGCAATCATTTGAGTGAAACGGCGACCAATAGTGGGAAGATACATTCATTAGCGCGAAAATACGAACATTTGCGCATAAATCAGATTCAATTACGATTTTTGCATTTTAATCAACATTCAATAAGACTTTTGGGCATTCATATGCGTCATTGGGCATACAAAAGAGAAAAATATTCTTTCATTAACGCCAACATCAAAGTCATTAACACCATCTTGAAAGTTAATAGGGACAACTGACATACATTAAAGTGCAAACACTATTCATTAACATTCTTATGACTCTGTTTGCAATTCAATAACATTCCTGGACAACCTTAGGATGGATAAGACAAACATTAACGCGCTTGTACAATCAATTGAGTGTTCTTTACATTTAATATACAAAATCGATTTTCAATTAAACAACAGAAATTCAAGCAAATTTGGCCTGAATTTCAGTCCGTTAAATGTATACCCCTCAAAAACCTCGCTATTTAAATATTTTGGGAGATAGGTTTGCATGAAGTGGAACCCCTTAACACATTAAGCTGCGGTCACAATGCCATGTTTCTGCGCAGAGCTTCAAGCACTGCAGTTGTTGTTTCCGAACTCCGCTAGTGGGATTGCTAGGGCTTTGCCCTCATTCCTGTTATACATCTTTAAATTTCCGGACTCGAGATCTCGGCCTTTGGTGTCGCTTTCAGACAACTTAAATCCTTTTTAACGATGTCTAGGGGAGAAGCATAAGCTGTGCACGTGGGGCGGGAATGGCCAAATCTAGGTGGGCTGCACCCCGTCATATGCAAAGCCCACCGACTTATCGGGATCCATTTTTTCCTCGCCCGCGCCAGAAAGTCACCAAAACCGACACAGTATTCATTACTCCAGCAGCTGCCGAGGAAAACTCTTGATAGGTAATATTGCCATAGTCATAGTCAAGTTTCGTCCTCGTTGGCCGCACACTTGGCGGTACACCCCCTATCACGCCCCACCATGACTTCTGGCCGTCTAGGGTAAACGTATAGCCGCAGCCGTCGACGAACACACAGTGGCGAAGTACGGCGTGATTCTTTAAACAAATTCATGCCAATTTTTTGGGGGGAATTGGTATTGTTTAATTGAAAATACATTTTTGCAAATTAAATGTAAAGAACGATTAATTGATTGTACAAGCGCATTAATGTTTGTCTTATCCATTCTAAAGCTGTCCAGGAATGCTATTGAATTGCAAACAGTGTCATAAAAATGTTAATGAATAGCGTTTGCACTTAAATGTTTGTCTATTGTCCCTAATGATTTTCAAGATAATGTTAATGACTCGAATGTTGGCGATAATGAAAGTATATTTTTCTCTTTTGTATGTCGAATGACGCAAATGAATGCCCAAAAATGTTATTGAATGTTGATTAAAATGCAAAAATCGTTATTGAATCTCATTTATGCGCAAACGTTCGCTTTTTCGCGCTAATGAATGTATCTTCGCGCTGTTGGTTGCCGTTTCACGCAAATGAATGCGTATTTTCTCGTAATGATCAGCAAAAGGTGTAAATGGTAAACAACCAGAGTCTCCAGATTTTAAATTTGGAGGGTGGCGTCTGTGTTTGGGACTGACCTACAATCAAGCGGTCCTTTTTCCCTTTTGTTTCTTGCCTTTCCCCGGAAAAAAACGTCTGATCGCAACCTCATTCCCAGGGTTCTCTCCTACCCGCCCTCCGTAGGGCGGGTAGGAGAGAACCCTGGGAACGAGATTGGCCTGATCGCAGGTTACTTTGGGACCAGCCCAAGGTGCCCGAGTTAGAGAGACCTCCGTCTTGTCTTATAAAGAGTCCAAAAAAGGGACTAAAGAAAGGAAAGTACACAGTAAGTTTCAAGGAGTTATAATACCTCCTGAAGTGGCGGGTTAATGTAACTCCTTACAGGGGAGCTATTTTTGGGGGGAGTTATTTTAACTCCAAAAAGGAGTTTAAAGAACTCTTTTTGAGGAGTAAAAATCACCCCAGATATTGAGGAGTTAAAATAACCCCAAAACAGGAGTTATCCTGTACCTAAAGTTTTTACTCCACTTTCAGAATTAAAGTAACTCCAAAAAGAGTAAAAACAACACTTGTAAGGAGTAAAATTAACCCCATTTTCCCGAGTGAAAAGAACTCTTTTTTAGGAGTAAAAATAATCCCAAATTTAGAGATAAAATAGGAGTTAAAGTAACCCCATAAAGGGTTATCCTGTACCTAAAATTTTTACTCCATATTTGGAGTTATAATAACTCCCAAAAATTACTGTGTACCAACTCTAGTTGGAACCTCTTCGTACACAACGGCTGCCATCGGTATCTTGTAATGCCGCGATATAGGGCTGTAATATGATCCAATAATACTGGTTCTGAAAGTTATGTAAGCCGACCAATGTTTAACTAAATATTAAAAATCAATCTTCTCTTGATGACTATAATCACAAAATTCGCAGTCAACGCTCTAATAACGTTGAACTGCGACTTTTCTGTCCTACTATTTTAAAGGAAACTAATTCTATATACTTCAACATTTGCTTATATGCCCAACCATTTTAAATTGAATCAATTTATCAGGTTGCATAGCTTCTCTTGGTATGGAAAATAGAACAATTGTCGATGCCCAAATAAGCGCCTCTTCGCAATATGATAGAAACAGTGGTCCACAAAGCGCTAGATTAAATGGAAGAGGAGGTTGGAGACCTCGCATCAATAACCGAGATCAGTGGCTTCAAGTTGATCTTGAAAAATATACCACAGTATCACGTATAGCTACTCAGGGACGAAGTAGTAGGAGATATGGGCCGTCTGTAACTAGTTACAGGTTGCAGTACAGTGATGACGGAGTGAACTATCATTCGTACAAAGCACGAGGACAAGATTCAGTTAAGGTACGCCCAGTTGGCCAGCATTATTTAAGAAAAGTACCAAGCTTTTTTAGAAAATCCACTTTTGAGCATAAAACAAGCAAATTTGGCCATAAAATGCCAAATCGGTGAAATTGACAAAAAACGACTTTTAGGTTTTTTTGATTAATGTGGCTCCTATTTTTTTTTTTTTTGCTTTGTTTTTACTCACAAAAAAGAAATCTCAGTGGAACTGTCTTTTAGTTTTTGTTTTGTCCCTCACTGAAGTCAGTGACAAGTAAAACAGAAAGAATTTTTCACTACACACCTGAGCCAGATCGCATCTACAGTCTTGTATTTTTAAGGGTGGGGGGCACTGAAGTGAGTAAATGCACAACTACACAAGGAACAAATCATCTGTTAAAACTGAACTTTACCTTAGAGTCAGTAGGAAAGCGATGTAAGGAAGATATGTGTGTTTCTGGAGTCAACACTAAATTCTTTATCTTTTTAATTTGTTTTTACCTCAGGTTTGGGCCTTAAAATAGGGTATCAGTTTTCATTTGTACCATCGTTAACTAGGGTCAGGGTTTAAGACCCTGAGTGGCACACACTGATCCGAAATGTATAGGAGTACCCTACCCTCCCTGGAGTGTTTTCCACCCAACAACACGAATTTTCTGTTGTAAGCATTTCACCCTTAGGGCTGTTGAGAAACTTATTCTACAGACTAGAAACTTACTAAAACCAATAAATGATTAACTAGAAACTGGTTTATATAGCTGTTGTTGTTGTTGTTGTTTTGTTTTTTAAATAGTTGTTTAATGGAAATAGAGGGTATTTTTCAAGCAACGTTGTTATCAATGATCTGAGCCGGCCAATCACGACGCGTTACATCAGAATACTGCCAGTGACTTGGTCCTGGACCGGCATAGCAATCAGAATGGAAATCTACGGCTGTCCAGGTAATTTTAAAAAAACAATATTCTCTCTGCTACAGGAGGATCTTGTAGATTCAACTCTCTTAACTTTGACGCCATAGTTGAATCCCCTGACATATATCAACAGCATATTGCATTTAAATTGTACCAATTTTTTTATTATTATTATTATTATTTAAAATGTTTTAAGCATGTCTTACATCTTTTATTTCAATGCCTGCCTTAAACTTCTCGTATACAATTGATTTACCCAGAGATAAAAAACGAGACTGTCCAGCTAAGCTTGAGTTGTTTTGGGAATTAATTCTTAAGGTACGCCTTTATTTCCTGGAGGGGTCAGATATTGAGGCTGACGCACGAAATGTGGAAAAATTGAATAGCGTAAATAAAAGCACACGCATAATTCACCATAACCAGCTGCTGATGACTAAATTTGGAAAAATTTTGTATTTAACGAGGAAATGACGTCCAAAAGTGCAGCGTTCTTGCAGGTTAATGCACCGTTAACCGAGACATTTCACTCGTTTCAAGAGTAATAACTAGGCGAAATTATAGCTAAAAACATGGCAAGAACAGCAAGAACACAACTCGAAGGGCGACCTCTGCTATTTAGAGAATATTTGCGGAGCTGAACAACCCTAAATGTGCACTATCGAAGGTGAACTTAGCATCGATGGAGGTAAGCATGTTTTAGCTTTGTTTTTAAACTAGGAATTATTTTGAATGAATAATAAAACAATTATTGAATTCGGCTTTCGTATTATATGAAGAATTATGGAGATCTGGAGGATGTTATCCACCTCGGCCTATGACCTCGACGGATAACGCCCTCCTCGACCTCCGTAATTCTTCATAAGACTGACTCAGCCTCATTCATTAATTGTTAATTAAAGACGCCTGAGGCGTCTATTTAATTTTTGGAGCCCAGCAAACAGGGGCGTTTAATAGATACGAGGCTTTTATCCTCATAACTGTAATAGCAAACTCCAGAAACCTAATAAGCTTTCGGAAAATATAGCACCACTGTTATGTCTTAGCGTCTCAACCAGGCGAGCCCATGGTAAACAAGCGTGTTTTAATGAGTCCCGGATGTGTGATGTAATACACTACATATCAACCACAGTATATAAATAGCAGATTATATATCCAGTCCATCCATTGATAATTAAGTTAGGCCGTTTAGAGATCCATATCGTTTTTTTAAAGCTCAATAACTTTCATGACAGAATTCTTACTTTGATTAACTTGGCATTGCAATTTGCAAGCTCTTGTTAATCAAACTGAATAAATTGAATGAGTTTGAATGAATGAATGAATTAATGAAGAGCCGTGTATGTTAGGACAATAGACGTGCCCTCTTACAATACGTTTTAACATGTGAACAGTAAGCTCGGACGTCAGCATACAAAGACGCCACTCTGGCAGCCGCTCAGTCTAACCATTTGCAGATGTCATTACAAAAGCAGCTACTTCTTCTCAGTTATTTAAAGACCCTGAGTGTTGGTCCGGCCGGGGTTCGAACCTGTGACCTCCCGCTCAGCAGACCGGCGCTCTCCCAACTGAGCCAATGTTATTTTGGTCCATTTCATTATTTCCTAGTATTTTGCCAGGAACAACTGTCATACGGGGCGTGTATTAGACAGGGGTCATCTAATAGAAACTTAAAAGTGTGGCAAGGAGGGAGGGGGGGGCATTTATTAGACAAGAGGCTTTTATTTGAGTGGGGCGTCTATGCGTCTATCAGATCATTTATAGTATATAACATTATCCTAGCTGTGCATTGTACGTTCTGTGCGTTCCGCTTTATATGACAAAAGCATTTATCATGGAGGGGGACGTAAGCGGAGTACGAACACCGCAAAACCGCACAGAAATACGTTTAAACACAGCACAGAATAACATAAGAAAACCGCAAACCGCATTGAAATTACCTAAAAAATTTCTAAATACCGCAAACTACTTGGTTTTGTAAAACCGCAATACCGCAACTTGAAAAAAAATTCCGCAAAACCGCATCAATGCAAACCCTTACATTATGACATAATTGCAGTATAGATTTTATTTCTTTCACTGATCTTTTTTACGCTTAGCCTGTGAAGCACCTCTTGGCATGGAAAGCGAAGCAATTGCCGATTCTCAAATAAGCGCATCTTCACAACTGGATGACCGACATTTTGCCGCACAAGCCAGGCTGCGTTTGAAAGCAGATGGGAGCACATCTGGAGGCTGGTCTGCTCTCACAAATGATGTCAATCAATGGCTTCAGGTGGATTTCGGTAGCTCTACTACAGTTACACGGATAGCGACCCAAGGGGAGTATGGATACAACAACTGGGTGACTGAATATAAGTTACAGTACAGTGATGATGGTATTAACTTCCATTTTTTCAAAGAAGTTGGAAAAACATCGACAAAGGTATTATTAGTTTAAACCTGAACACGTGATGGTCTGCCTATCCCCGCGGGCTTTCCCACAAAATATGACTGACTATTAATTAATTAATTAATTAATTTTTTGTATTTATTTATTTATCTATATTCATCTGATTTTTTATTTTAGATTCGTAGTGCAATTTATTGAAGCAAGGGCCAGTTACCTTCCCGGGATGACTTAAATATTGTTTTATTGTATTTTTCAGTTGTTTGCCGGAAATAGAGACAGTGAAACGGTTGTCCACAACAAACTTCGCCCACCGATCAAAACCCGCTTTATTCGACTTTTGCCAACTCGGTGGAACAAACAAATATCAATGAGGATTGAAATTTATGGATGCCCAGGTATTAGGTTGAATTAACTATCAGAAACGTGCTGACGCGCTGGTACATTAAATAACAAGTTAGTGTTATTGAACTATCTTTCAATTGAGTACATGCACGAAAGTGCCCATTTGATATTAAGACGACTTTGACGTCTAGTATGAAAAACGGTAAAAAATGATTATGATGTGAATCACTTTGACTGCTTTCAATGGATAAGTAGCATAGCTTCAGCTCAGTTCCTAATAGAGGGTAGACGTTTTTACGTTAGCATTTGGAGCGGCGTAATGGGGTGGAAGCTTTGACGGTTGACGGTTAAATTTTAGAGCTTTTGACGGTTGACGGTTATCTCATTACGGAATCGCGCCTGTAGAAACGCGTCGCTAGTAAATGCAAATTTTTCTGTCAATCAAATGTGTCCTATTATTTAAAGGTGGAAATTGGTGAAACATCGTTATTGTTTTGGAGACAATAGAAGAACAAAAGATAACAGAAAGATCAGGTTATGCGGTCTTACAGCGTGTTGCGTGACTTAAATCAGTTGTAGCATTTCTCTTAACTTTCCCGCATTAAAACGTTGGAATGAAAAGTCTGAAGCTTAGCTTTTAAAATCTTGATAGCCAAAATAAAGAGGGTGCCCCAAAAGGCAAGCATTTGGGAGTTCAAACTCGATAATTTTGTCTCCAGCTAAATCCGGCGGATGAAAAGTAATTTGCATATAAGCGTAAGTGAAGCGAAATAGATACAAATCGCCGTGGTTGTAAACACAACGCTTCCTCGAAGTTATTTTCCTTTTGAAAGCGTAAATTCGCATGAAAGAGCTTAGCTTACACAAAATAATATAAAATGAAACGAATCAAATCGAAAAGTGATAAAAAAAAAGTCAGGATATTTCAGTTCGATGGAAAGTAAGTGATTGGGTAGGTGATTTGCATACCGATAAAAACAACGTCTAGCGCAGTTCAAAACCGTTCGGCTTCCTGAATTGTTTTTCTGGAATTCTATGCATTCTGCTGGCCTAAATCGTTAAAATATCTTATGAGGTCAAATTATTTTTCAAGGTGAGCGTTTGCATCTCCTTGTAAAACAGAGAGTAGCGCGAAAGTTTCGATCTATAGATTTTCTTAAGTTAAATTACCTTTGTATCGTGGAAACAATACCCTATAGCACTTGAGTCTTGAATCAAAGGACGCGACATGCGTCGGCTTCCTTTGTGAGCGCGCAAACAGTCATGGGACCCGCGATTTTGCGGGCGACACGGATCTACAGGCGCCGTTCCGTAATGTAGTAGTGGAAATTTAGTCCAAGAGTCCATGAATTAATACTAATTTCTTTTGGAGGAGGTAATGTCTTGGCCTTCTCATATGAAATTTCGAAATATTTTCAGATGTAAGCAAGTTGTACGGTCTTGTAATGGCTGGAGAGTGTGTTTTTTAGAACATGGGAACTGGTTTTTCCAGTTTGATTATCCAGTCAAGTCTTTAAATCAGCTGAAACAGTGAGATTTGAGATTCCTTGAAACCTCTTGACGGTTGATATCTATCTGCATTTTTGACGGCTGACGGTAAACAATTTCAGGCCGTTTGATGGCTGACGGTTAACCCCTGCATTGAGACCCTCATTTGGGAATTAGAAATAGTTAAGCTATGCTCTAGTTTTGTGCTGATCGTTAGCGTATGCTTTTGCTCCAATTTGTGGAATAATTTAGATTGCATAGCACCTATTGGCATGGAAAGTGGAGCAATCTCTGACGTCCAGATAAGTGCCTCCTCAAATAAGGATGATAGTTTTGCGGCAAGTCGAGCCAGGCTGCTCGTCAAGAAGAGCGGGAAGTTTAGGCAAGGAGGCTGGTCTCCTTTTAAAGACGATCTTAACCAATGGCTGCAGGTGGATCTTGGCAGGTTAACCACAGTAACACGTTTGGCAACACAAGGAAGGGATGGATCAGATGAGTGGGTCACCAAGTACACGTTGCAGTACAGCTTTGATGGAGTAACATATCACGATTACAGAGAAAGAGGAGAAACCTCTTTAAAGGTACGCTGAGCTTTTTTAAAAGGATAACAGAGATATGATGACAATAGATTACGATCGTAAATAATTAGCCGAATGAATCTTTCATAGTATGTAAGCTCTCCATTCCGACTGGCGAGCGAAGTGAGCCGCGCCAGAACACACAAGCGAGGAGCGAAGCCATCCCACTTTCCTCACTCTCGTGTTTCCTCTGGCGCGCTCGGTCATTATTTTAATTTTAAGATGGTCCCAGAACTCTGGCGTTATCCTAAAAACTGTACATAAAACTATACCTCAAAAAGTCATTTTGAAGTGTTGTTTTTTGCCATTGTTGTTGTTGTTGTTTCGTTGTTTTCTTTTGTTTTCTGTTTTTTTTTTTAGTCCTCGTCCGGTCTATGCACTTGCACTTTTTATTTGAGTGTCAATGTATTTAGCACGAAAGTGCTAATTGGGGACACTATTTTTACGTCTCCTAATGGAGACGGGACCGCCATTTTACGTGGTCATCCGAGCCACGCGAAGGTCTCGCCGCCTGCAGTGCAAAGGAAGTACCTTCATTTCTTAGTTATTTTAAGACCCTGAGTAATGGTCCGGCCCCGGGAATCGAACCCGCGACCTCCCGCTCTGCAGTCAAACGCTCTACCGACTGCCACGGTGAAAAGTAACTTTCGTAAATATTTAACCTGTCTGACCTTTCTTTCACTTTCAGGTTTTTAATGGAAACCAAAACAGCTACAGTGTGGTGTATAACAAAGTAAACTCACCAGTCACAGTTCGCTTCGTTCGGTTATTGCCGATTGAGTGGCGCAAACACATATGTATCAGAATGGAGATCTATGGTTGTCCAGGTAACCTAAATAGTATCTCGCTGTTGTCAATTGTATGCTACGCATAGTTTGATTTGACTATAACTCATGGACCCCATGGTACTTGGTGCGTGTGAATGGCGCTTCGTTCCCCCGAAAGAGCGCGAACAAATAGCGCCTGTTTTGAAGGCTAGATCGGGTCGGGTACATGCGTCGTACATGACCCGAACAAAGAAGACACGTCGTTGTTTGTGTTATGAAGTACCAATTGGCAAACTACTCCTCCGGTAGTTTTACATGGAGTAGTAAATCGATACAGCTGAATTTCGTGGGAATTTTGAAAAGATGTGAAAAGAAAAACGGCGCAGCGGAGAGATTCACAGCGGAACAAGTCGCTCCCAGCGATTTTGATGAAAACGAATATGAAACGCCCAGCGATTTTGATGAAAACGATTATGAAACGAAAGTGAAAGCAGCGAAGAAGAGTTTGTTGGAGACCTTCAAGGGTCTTCAAGATGTGCTGAATGTAGATGGCCACACGTGGTACAGCTGTCGCTACCACTGCAAGCTTCATGCCCTCTTCATGAACCATGTTGAGGTGAAATCCGGACGTTTTCTACGGCTGAAGCCCTGGAAGGGTTTAATTGCAGGTCTACTGCTGCAGGTGCAGATATGTACAGACCTCACACAAATTGAAAAATTAATGACAAAAATGAATGATGCCAAAATTTATCAGTTATCGCAAGCATATAATCAGCATAGTTTATGAAGGTTTTTGAAGGGAACATCACCAGATTTATGACTAACTTTTTGGTCTCAAAGAATCATTCTTTTCAAGTTGTGTCCATGGTTCAGTCTATTTCTTTCCTCTCCTGGAAGGTGCAGATGTTTCTGCAATGATTAATTAATTAATTAATTTTTGGCATTTAATACCCTCACCCCTTCCCCCATTCCCCCTCCCCACCCCCTCAAAGGACCAATGAAATGTTAAAGGACCAATGGAATCTTAAGGGGTAAGTTATGAAAATGGAGGATTTCTTTAGGGGCTTGAAGCAAAAAAATGGACTTCTTTGGGGCTGAAGCTTTAATTTCCAACAGGGAAAAATCACCCTTTCACGAAATTCTTCAGGGGTAAACCCATATTCTTTGGGAGTAGACCCATAGTTTTAATTCTTCAGAGAATGCAATTTTATGGAATTCTTCAAGGGTAACTAATAAGAAAGGGAAGTCGTCAACTGATGGGCTACGGATATTAAATGCAGTAGCTCAATGCTGCATTGTTCCTTCAGGTTGCAGTGCATAAAAAACGGAGGTACTGCCGATGCTCAAACTGTGACCATGTTCCAAAAAGGGCTAAATTAGACAGAAGATAGATAATAGACAAAAAGGGCAGTCTGGAACTCTTGCTCAGCAAGAATTACTTGGATCAGAGGCTTCAAGTCAATTGTGGATACCACAATGACCAGGGAGGCTTACCCCAGAGATACACTCCAAAAAATTAATTTCAATTTCGACTTATTCCCCTTACTATTGATTGAATCAAGGTTGTATGTCCCCTCTTGGTCTGGAAAATGGAGCAATTTCTGATGCCCAGATAAGTGCCTCTTCGCAGTGGGATAACAAGCTTGGTTCACACAGAGCTCGATTGAATGGGAACCCTACTGGAAAAGGCATGGGAGCCTGGTGTGCTTTAAACAATGACAAAAATCAGTGGCTTCAGGTTGATCTTGGAAGATATACCACAGTGACTCGCATAGCGACTCAGGGGAGAAGTGATTCTAGCCAATGGGTTACCAAATACTTGTTGCAGTACAGTGATGATGGAGTCAACTTCCTTTGGTACAAAGATTTAAAAGACGGTTCAGTAAAGGTACAACATACACATAAATAAAATAATTAAATCTGATTTTAGTGGTTGTACACTTGTTTTATTATTTCAAAGTGGCTCTCTGAGAAAGAGCAAGAACCATCAACTTACATGTACATGTATATAAATTTTTTGCATAGTTGTTTGGTGGAAATTCTGACAGAAACACCATTGTTTACCAAACATTGAGCCAGCCAATCAGAGCTCGATATGTCAGGATAGTTCCGGAGGCTTGGTATGGACACATATCAATGAGAATGGAACTCTATGGCTGCCCAGGTATTTTGAAATAAACAGTTAAATTCCTCCTCTTAAGGACTTGTTGACTCACATTCCTTGGTAGACAAAGTCGTATACCAGCCAGTGCAGGCAAATTCTATGTAAATGGCTTTACAATTACCATAAGTCTTTGGTTGGTCTTTGAACTGATGTGCTTTTTTTTTTTTTGCTAATGACTTGTTTTGCATTTAGCTTGTGAGGCTCCTCTTGGAATGGAAAGCAAGGCAATTTCGGATTCTCAAATAACTGCATCATCACAATTGGATGAAAACCTTTCTCCAGCACATAGCCGATTGCACGACAAATCAAACCAAACCAAAGGTGGAGCCTGGGCGGCCCTAAGAAATGATCAGCACCAATGGCTTCAGGTGGATTTCCTTAGCTATATTACAGTGACACATGTTGCGACTCAAGGAAGACATGCCCACAGTGAATGGGTAGTTAATTACAAATTAAACTACAGTGATGATGGATTGACATTCCAAGAGTACAAAGAGCCAGGAAGCAATCTTGCCAAGGTGATAATCTGTCAAGAAACGTTTTATAAATAACAAGTTATAAATTATGGCATTCCTTTGTACATTTGTGTAAATGTGATCATTACTATATTGTGTTTGCAAATAAGAGGTAATTTTTCTGACATTTTTGAGACCCTTAGCTTATATAATCTACTTTATATCGTCAATTAGCAAAAGTTGTACCCTTTTTTGCAATATGTTTGAAGGCAACTTTTTAAACCACGCTTGGTCATTCCAATGAATTAGAATTTCTAGTAAGAGACCAGTCAGCCTTAGAAAACATCATTTTTGACAATTGTGCATCATTCAGGGTGCAAAGGTCTTTCTTTCTTTTTGCATTTTGTAATGCTTGTTGTTAATTTGTTAAGTTTCTTGTTGAAATCCTGAATGAGATAATGGCATTGAAATAATTTAACTTACAGCAACCCTCAATAAATGTCAATATTTTATCAGCTGACATTAAACCACCCCCCTCAACAAATATGGAGAAATTAGAAACAAGATTACTCCTAGCACCACCTGTTAGTTATTGTTTACATAATAATTTCATGTATTATAATTATTATAACAGTGTATTCAATTGGAGAAACTGTTCTTAATTTTCTATATAAAAAATGGGTGTTTGTGGCATGTATTTACATTGAGCGCTCCTTCACATGCAGTAACAGCTTAATTTGTTTCTTACTTTCATTGTGTAGGTTTTGGATGGGAACAGAGACAATGACACTGTAGTGAGCAATAGACTGAATCAATCAATCACAGCCCGCTTTTTACGCATCTTACCGACCAAGTGGAATAACAGGATTTCCCTGAGAATGGAGATCTATGGCTGTCCTGGTACATGATTAGAATACATCGTGATTGTAACTTGAGAAATTACTGTGAACTGGTTTAACCTTAAATTTATTGTGTCCTTAATACCCGTTGGCAAGACCGAGTTACCAACACCTAACTGTACGGTGACCTTTCTAATTTGTCAGACAGGACCAGATTAGAGAGGCTTGGTCTTGCTGGCCATTGCCACGGTCACTGTGAATTGCCAGCAAGGCAGCTTGTCCCACGGTGGCCAACACGGACACTTACGGCATGGTCACCCATGAGTGTCTACATTCATAGTCATTCTGATGAGGGATGCTGGAGCGGCATCCACCAGCGAATTGTCAGCCTGCATGGAAAACTTAGCTGCCTGAATGAATGAATGAATGATTATCGCCTGAAAAGGCTTTTTGCCCAACACTATATAAAAATTAATTCTATGAAACTATGATTTACATTGCAAAGAAAGAGAAACACACACAAAAAAAGCTTGCCGGGCTTTTGTATGTAATATTTACTTGCTTATTATGACTTGGCACCTGCAAGTCACTTATATTGACAATTTTTTGGTCATACACTGTAGCACATGAAGGTAATAAGAAAGAATTAATCTTATTTGTTTCCTCAGTAAGTTAGTGATTCTCTTCTTTTTATGCTCATAATTAAGCTTGCATTGCCCCGCTTGGGATGGAAAACAATGCCATTTCAGACGGCCAGATAAGTGCCTCTTCACAAATAGATGATGATCATGGTGCAAACCAAGCCAGATTGCATTTTAAGATAACTAGCATCAACCATGCGGGCTGGACCACTCTGAAAAATGATCTTAACCAATGGCTTCAGGTGGATCTTGGTGCCTACACCATAGTAACAAGAGTAGCAACTCAGGGAGGAAAATCCGTCAGCCAGTGGGTGACCAAGTACACGTTACAGTACAGTGATGACAGATTTATCTTCCAGCCATACCAAGAAGCAACTGGCAACTCAGCAATGGTATGTTTTAACTTAATTGTAGAGTGAAAGGTGGTGACATTCATTCAAAATAGATTACTATTTTTATTACTTTTGCTAATTGGCTTTAATCTCCTGGCTTATTGGTCATAACCCGCAGCTGGTGCTGACCATTAATTTGGAAGAATGTACCAATATACATTTGATACAATGTACAATCAATACAATGATATATTGCCTCCAACATACAATCCAAAACTTTTTTCCAGGCAATGGCACCCCTAGCTGTTTTGGCATGGGAGCAGAACTCAAGAAAATGGTGAAAGAGATCATTGTTCATCCAGAGTAAAAAAAAAAGGCAAATAACTGACTAAAACTGAATGAATCAAAATGCAAGAATAATTATGCAGAAAAATTATTGCAGAATAGATATCATCAGCTTTTGAAGAGCTTCTCCAAGGAAATAATAATAAATTATGCTTAAACCTACCAAACATGACCAGTGGTATTGAACGTGAAATGTGTAGTTCCAGAAAATATCCATACTCCCGCCACAGAAGGGATTCGAAATTCCTGGGGGGTGGGGGGTTCTCAAAGGCCCAAAAATTTAAGTCAATGTATGAAGCTTTCGAGACTGGAATTTCCAGAGAGGTGGGGGAGTCTCAAAGGAAAAATCCCTTCCGTGGGGAAGGTATGGATAATTTTTGGAACCACACAATGTTATTAGAATGAGATGTAAATGTAATACAGTAAAGGTCTCCATTTGGCAGTTTAGTAGAATTCGTCATACATGAAGCTGTTTATATTATTTTGAATCCACTTATATATAATGAATATTAGTAAAAATAAGTATTATTCTTATTTTTGCTTTCTAATTTCTTAGATTTTTTATGGAAACAGAGACAGTGACACTGTTGTGTACAACACTTTGAAACCACCAATAACAGCACACTTTATTCGAATCTTACCGTTGGAGTGGCACAATCATATATCATTGAGGATTGAAATTTACGGCTGTCCAGGTATTCCAAAATATTTTCAAACAGTCATAACAGTCACTAGGAATTTACATATAAAGTCTCTTGTAAATCTGCCTGGCCTGCATCAACATTCAGCTGCTGCATTTTTCTCTTTTTAACACTAGTCTTTATTGGGGCAAAAGTTTAAGCTTTGTATGGTTAAAATCATGAGACATTTTTGGACAAACAGACAAGTCATTAAAAGAAACAATGTCGCAGCTCCTTTAGCTATGCTTTAAATTAACTAGTAAAAACATGACAACCAGACAAATGGTGTAAAGGGGGGAACATTGCTCGACAATCGCTGTTTCCCCAGGACTATTTTACCTATCCACACCATATCACCGTGGACAAATTCAGGGAGGTCCAAAAGACACAAACTTAAATATGGCCACTTATTAACACTCCACAGCACTTTGAGTTGAAACCTCCAGCCAGCATTGTGCAGTTCTAAAAACATGTCATGGTTGGTATGATGTTGCCTAACAAATATTTTGTTGCTCATTTAGGAGGTCATGGTCCATCAACTCTAATTGATATGTGAAACTTTCAAAAATGATGATGATGATGATGATGATGGATGATAATGAAAGAAAAAAATTACCAATAATGGCATGCAAAGTTCCAAACAGGATCCTAGAACCATGCAAGGAACTGCCCTGAAATGAAATAGCTGATCATTGCCACTATTATTAGACATGTTGGCATTTTGTATTCAGGTTGTGTAAAATCACTTGGAATGGAAAATCAAGCGATCTCTAATGCCCAAGTAACAGCCTCATCACAAATGGACAACACCCATTCTGCAAGAGAGGCCCGCTTGCATTCCAAGGCGGATGGATACCAAAGAGGTGGCTGGGTAGCTCTCAGGAATGATCTCAACCAATGGCTTCAGGTGGATCTTGGTACTTTCACCAGAGTAACACGTGTGGCAACTCAAGGAAGAGATGGGTATGATCAGTGGGTGACCAAGTACAGGTTACAGTACAGTGATAATGAAGACACCTTTCACTCTTTCAAAGAGATCGGCAGTAACTTTGCGAAGGTATGACTGTTAAAATTTGGCAAGAACTACACAATACAGTACATGTATTCCAGTCACTAACACAAATTTCTCAAACTGATTGAAGCGTCAACAGCTTGCAAAGCCTATGGTCTTAGACACTTAATGTCAGATCCCGAGGGAAACAGTTAGTTTTGTTTTCCCAAGAGTGCTGATGTTTCCCGAGACAAAGTCGAGGGAAACATCAGGACTCGAGGGAAAACAAAACTAACTGGTTTCCCGAGGGACCTGACATTAAGTGTTTTGTTATATTTCTAGACTTTCACTTCAACAGCAACAAAAGAATAACCAGAGCAAACCAAAACAGTCGACTCGGTACTTATAACAACACAAATTTAATTCTCAAAACCACACTGAATGAATGATTTACAAACAAAAGTACTTTCCTCATATTATCTGCATCTTTTTCCTCCACTAGCTGCTGTTTTTCTTCTGGGAACTTCTGGGATAACTTTAAAAATCGTTCCTTTCTAGCTTGAGGCTTCGTTTTTGTGTTGTTGTGTTCATTCACGAAAAAGAAAACTGGCTGGACCTGGCGGTGTTTTTCCCGCCTTCTGTCACACCACTTTCCACCATGCTTTGATCACGTGCTGCAATGTATCCCGAGCGGGATACATTATTTAATGTATCACGACCGGGATACATTTGATTTTAGTCAAGGCCACGTGACCAAGAATCAACCAATGGCAGTCCCTGTTTAGTTGAGTGAAAGTCTAGGAATATAACAATGGATATTGTCCAAGTTCTTTGCATTATTATGGACCAAGACTTAATGGCAGTCAATAAAAAAACGGAATTTATTTGCCTGCAAATAAAAATGTTTATGTCACCTAGTCACGCATTGATTTATGTTAGTTTGCCAAGGAGGGCACTTATTACTAGTCACGCGTTGACTGGTAAATTACTTGCCAGAATATTAGCGGGGCTCCCGCGCGCGCGAAGCGCGCGTGGGACAGAGCCCCATACCCATGGAATATGGTCAACCTCTTTTCGTTTGGTTGTCACGTGATTGACCGAGCGTACGTACGTACGCGTCTACAGATTGTATGGGTGGGGTAGGGGTGACTATCAAAAGGAAGGGAGGGGTGTCTCAGGCGTGTCTTGGCAAGCCCACATCTTTAATATAGGACATTAACAATATGGTCAATTGACAGCTGTCCAAACAGGATAGCCACTGACCAGTATCCCATGACCATATCGCGGGCTCATGTGTCAACTCATCGAGGTGACGTGATTTATTTGGAAGCTGTCCGCTGACCAGTTAACTGTTTTACTAGATCGCGAACAACGTTCAATCTCATACTTTTACTAGTTTGGGAGCACAGGAAAACTGATAATGCACACATATTGGACATCAATGTTTTGATCAATTGACAGCTGTCAAAACAGAGTACCCGCTGACCAGTATCACTTGACCGTATCGCGGGCTCAGGTGTCGACCCGTCGAGGTCAAGTATTTTTTGAAGTTATCCGCTGACAAGTAAACTAGTTTTCAAGTGATCGCAGGCTCAAGTTCAATTTTTTTTCTTAATTCATATGAAATACATGTTGTGTTTATGTGCTGCACAATTAAAATTTTGATTGCAAACTGACCTCGGACGTGAAAGTTCAGCCAGCTGTTACAGGCAGGGAAGACAATTGCTTTTGTTTTTTCTCACAATGGTCACGCGTTGGTCACGCTCTACGTCCAATTTTTATGCTCTGATTGGTCAAAATTTGACATGTGAGTTCATACGCAAAATTTATGCAGCATCTTGAATCTTGTTTACTTTAACAGCTGAAGCTGACAGAGTTTTGTGTCAACTTGTGATGTTTTTAACTGTCTTTTTCCACTGGATGTACAAAATGAAATTCAGCTGCTATCAGGAGTCTTCTGTTACTCATGGCTAGTTTGTTTATTGGGTTTTTGGTTGAGAAAACGTCGCTTGTCAAAGTCGGAAATCCGATTTCGGATGGCATCGTTTTCGTTTTCACCTTGCTTGATGCGTAAGAGGATTGCAAAGTCTGAAGCGATACTGGCTTTACCTGATAACTTTCAGGAGCTGCATCTCGAATGGTAAGCCAGAGAAATTATTGTATTTCATGTTTGTTTTTTGTATCTAATTTAATGAAGTGGAGCGTAGTTTATGCGGGAATTTAGTTTATGCGTGTTTGTAAGTTTTGAGACAACGATCTCACCGAGTATCTGGTTTGATATAATCTTACAGAACTTTAATATATAGATTTAGCCAGGGCTAAAAGCGAAGCTCCCGTTAATAAATTCACAATTTAAATCAAACAATAAACTTGTAATCCACAGATAGGGCACAGTCATGTGACTTTTGAGGCAAATTTAGGCTAAGTGATTTTAGAGAAAAATAATTTGACAGTCCAAGAGTGAAACAAATTTTACATCGCGTTAATAGTCTTATTTGTACACCCAAAAATAGCAATCATGTTCGATCACAGTAGATTAGGCCTGGAAAACAAATAGAGCTATTCGTGTATTGTATTTGCATTAGCTGTTGCATCATAATGTCGCATTCACCAGTCTCTCCAACAACGTTACGTTAGAGAGACTATGGATAATTGGACAACCCCGAAATATAATTTTAAGAACCACACGAGCCACGATAGTCCTTGGTGGCAGCCAATTGACACGTTGCATTCATCTGTCTAAAAGGGAGGCCAAAATAAAAAATCAGGCCGGATTTTTTGTGTTCGACAAGTTTAGTTTACAAGTAAATCTGGTGGCGTGTAAACCAGCCTTTTAAACATACTTTTTCTCAACACGTCTCCGGTAAACAGTACTATGAGGCCCTTTTTTACTATACAGACCTTGGACAGAATTTGTTCTTTTTTTGCCCTATCATTCTGCTGTTTTTCACAATTTTGTAAGACAATTTGCACTCATTCAATATCCACGACGTCAAAGCAAGCGCTTCCTTTGCAAAACAAATTATAGCATTGAATTATCAAACGTTTTCATGAAAAGAATTTCATAATGCGGGACTTTTAGAAAAATCTAATCCTATGTGATATGCAGGGTAATAATTATGGGTTTTTAGCATGAAAATGATAAAAAAAATTCCCAAAATCACCTTTTCGGCCAGCCGGACGGGTTCTCACTTTTGACAGGCAAATTTGCAGTGCGATTAATAGAGTTACCATTTACGCTTCAACACGATAGGGAAATTGCTATGTTTAGGTTTTATTTCCCTTTATTTATTAAACTGTGTATGTGGTTTTGTTATGTGTAATCTTTAAAAGCGAGTGATATTTACGCGCAGCGTTTTGAGTATTCCTGTATGCGATGTTTATGTTCGACTGCAAACAACCGGTGCGGCGATAAAAATTGCGGGAGGGACTACTAACAATCAATAAAATAAATATAATTCGGTGAAACATGTACAGAGACAATAATTTCCATTCACGAAGAGAAGTATTGAGAGTAAAGTGTCTCTGAAAATCATGAGTCAGGTAAGCATAAACTTGTTTATGTTTTAAGCCGGCTTCCCGGTGTTTGCTCTTTTTCAAGATGAACTCGAGGCAAGAAAATCGCTCAGAGCTTTCTGTTTATAGCCAAAATCATAACTAAATAATCTTTGGAACCTTTTCTTTGAATTTGCGGTCAAAAAATGTCTAAAGGCTTTTTAAACCTGATACTATTGTTGGTTAGATCATCGCTCGTGTATAAACTTAAGCCGCATAAACCATACGCTCGACTTCAGGAAACCGAAAAAAAAAAACACATCAAAGACAATAATTGCTCAGGCTTACCAGTCGAGATGCTGCTTCTGAAGGTCATCAAGTGTTCCAGAATCGCTGGAGACTTTTCAACCCTGTTACGCCTCAAGCAAGGACAAGTGAGGAAGCTCATTCTTGAAAACGATGCCATCCGAAATCGGATTTCCAATGACTTTCACAACCGGTGCATTTGTCAACATAAAGCGCAATAAACAAACTAGCCATGAATTACAGAACAATCTTGCTAGCAGCTGTATTTCATTTTGTACACCAAGTAGAGAACGACAGTTTAAAACATCACAAGATGACACAAAACTCTGTCAGCTCCAGCTATCAGTAAGCAAGTTTCCAGACGCTGCATAAATTTTCCGCATGAACTCACCTGTCAAATTTTGACCAATCAGAACATAAAAGTTGGACGTAGAGCGTGATCAACGCGTGACAGTGAGAAAAGTCAAGAGCGATTGCCTAACCTGCATGTAAAAGCGGGTTGAATTTTCGCGTCCGAAGTCAGTTCGAAATCAAAATTTTAAAACGGACTCATAAACACGACTTATTTCATATGCATTTTAAAAAAATTGAACTAGAGCCTGCGATCATGTGAAAAGTAGCAACTTGTCAGCAACTTACTCAAACTCAGTGGGTCGATACCTGAGTCCGCAATACGGTCAGGCGATACTGGTCAGCAGAAACACTATTTTGACAGTTGTCAATTAATCAAAACATAGATGTGCAATATCAGGTTGTAGGCTCTCAAATTAGCTAGAAAAAGTGAGGTTAAACATTGGTATGACTGTGGTGCGGACGGTCGGGTGGTCGGTGTAAGGTCACGTGATTGCCGAATTTTGTAGGATGGATAGATTTTCTAACCTCTGGGGCTTCGAATTGAGCACGTGATCAAATAAAATATCAGCGCAAAACTTTAAACACTATGTGAACTCAATGGATAGAAAAATGAGCCCGCGATACACTCAGGTGATGATGGTCAGCGTATACTCTAGTTTGACAGCTGTCAATTAACCTTAATTAGATTGGCGAATATTCGAATTAACAGACTACGAGTGTGAGTAAGGCATATCCGTCCGGCTTGTAGTAGAAAATGCCAGATCGTGTACCTCAGCGAACCTGAGCCCACGTTATTAGTTTTCTGATACTGGTCTGCACATGTCCTGTTTTGACAGCTGTCAATTGACCTTAATTTGGCTTGCCAATATAACTTTAAATGACTGTCAGCCAACTGACAGCCTTGCCCGGCGTAGTTTCGTTTTTATGTTGAATTGGCAAGTGTGACATATTATAACAGCTTATATGTAGGGGCAAAACGACTGGTCTTTCATCTGAGCCCGCGACATAGTCATGTGATAATTGTCAGCGGATGTCTGATTTTGACAGCTGTCAATCTAATCGTACTCATACGGATGGCTTACATAACTGAAAGGCTAGTCAAGTTGTGCAAGATCTATTGTGACATTTGACATCGGCTTAAATGAAGTGTGTGTACGGGTGGGCGTACGCTACGTCATAACCAAATTTTCTGGGATGGATAGTTTACCAAATTTTCTTACCCATGGTGCTCCGCTGCGCGCGCGCTTCGCGCGCGCGGGAGCTCCGCTAAAAAGCCTTTAGACAGTTTCTCACCGCAAATAGAAAGAAAATGTTCCAAAGAATCTTTAGTTATAATTCTAGCCGGAAAAGAAAGCTTTGAGCGATTTTCTTGCCTCGAGTTCGTCTTTGAAAAAACAAACACCGGGAAGCTGGCTTAAAACATAAACTTCAGCAAACTTAAGCTTGAAGCTTGAAGACTCAGGATATTTAGGGACACTTTAATACTTGTCTTCCTGAATGAAAATTGTTGTCTCTGTTTATGTTTCACCGAATTATATTTCTTTTATTGATTGTTGGTAGTCTCTCTTGCAATTTTAATCGCTATGCCGATTGTTTTCAGTCGTTCAGTGAACATCGCTTGCAGGAGTTCTCAAAATGCCGCGCGTTAAACCATCAAATAAAAAATAAACATGATAAATTCTTTATTATCTTGGAGCGTAACTCTGTTAATGTTCATTCAAACACTTGCTACAGCTCGCACTACAAAAGTGAGAACCGGATGGCCGTATAGGTGATTTTGGAAAATTTTTTTAACAGTTTATGAAAATTGAATGAGAGCAATTTGTATTGTGAAATACTGCTTTCTGTCCATGGTATAAAAGGTTGGTTTACACGCACCCAGATTTGTTGGCAAGATTTTGCAAAGTAAACTTGTCGAACGCCAAAACGCTGGCCTGATTTTTTTTCTAAGCCTAATTGATCTACGGTGATCAATAGCCATTACGGCTCTTAAATGTGATAAAAGATGATTACCAGTTTTTGAGTGTACATATGAGGCTATCAACTCGATGTAAGATTTGGTTCACTCTTGGGCTGTTTGCAAATTATTTTTCTCTAAAATCAGGTAGCCTTTCCCTCAAAAGTCACATAAATGTGCTCTAAAGTTAACTGAATTGTGGAATTCGAATACAAGTTTATTGTTTAATTTAGATTATAAATTTACTAAATGGGAGCCTCGCTTTTAGCCCTGGCTAAATCTATATATTACTTGCTGTAAAACTACTAGTCATGAGCTTATTCGGAAAAGTACTTAGCCTCAACGTCATTTAAGGTTAGGGTATAAGACAAGCTGTGTTCCCCGAAGTCTTCCTCTTGGTCTCCAGACGTAATAAGCTTTGCGAATTTGACCCTCCTCCTCCCTTTCTCCGCCGCTTTCTTAATAGTAGTTTATTTACTCTGGGTGCCTTTTTTCTACACCTTCACCTTTGCCAGAGCGTAAAAAATCAAATAATCATAGCTAATTAAAATTGTTTGAAGATGTTATATCTAATCAATAAATCGGCCATCTTGCATGGCCAAAATTATACCCAAACACATCGTTGTCCCTTATTTCTTTAAGCGCTCTTGCAAACATAGCTCGACTGATGACCCCAGAATTTAGCCAAAGGTTCTCTTTATAATAAGGGTACAAAAGACAATCGGGCAAGGAGGCATAAACAAAAAAGAAAGAGGACAACATCCATCTGTCCTAACCAAACAAGAACGGTCAATAATTTAACCCTTTAAGTCCCAATAGTGACCAACATCAATTATCTCCTAACAATATCCATACATAGTCAAGAGATGAGTTATGAGAATTGATAAAATGATCACCCAGGTAAAAATGCCTTGATCTATTATCAAATTCTCTCAACAAATTCTTTAAGGAAACGTATCAAGATCAGTCAGGAAAATTTGTGTGTGGATACTGGGGCTTAAAGGGTTAAAGGATTTATTATATGGCCAAAAAGATAACCTAGTGTTGGAGTACCAACACCAGAAATGCCAAGCAATGAGATGGGCCTTGCTTGCCACTCACGGATTCAGCCATATAATTAGTAGAACTTGATGTGCTGAATTATAGCTTTTTGAAATTTTCTTATATTTAGGTGTTCACAGGAAATCGGGATCATGAGACAGTTGTGTACAATCAATTGAGTCCACCAGTCACAACTCGCTTCATTCGACTGATTCCAGTAATGTGGCATAGTTACATATCAATGAGAATAGAGATCTACGGCTGCCAAGGTGATGAGGAACAATTATATATTCATAGTTACATTTAGAGAACAGCTAGCTGAATAACTTGTATTGTATTATTTTATTGTCCATGTATGTCGTCATTTTAAGATGTGCAATGGTCAAAGGTTAATGGCACTACAGTGGAACCTCTCATGAGCAGACACACATGAGATGCAAAAAAGGCATCTGTTCCTGGAGCTGGCCACTTACGGGAATATAAAAATGCAGAGTTTATGTTAGTCTCCTTCGCAGCCATTATTAGGGTCATCATACAATGCTCCTCCCCACTAAAGCGTCGCGTGACAACTTTAATAATGGCTGTGAAGGAGACTAAGTTTATGTGGGAGTTGAGAAAAACAAGGTTTTGTGAAGGCAGCCTTAAATAGAGCTGTCTGCTTACAAGTGTCCACTGTACTTTGAAAATGTGATTAGGCTTATGCTTTTTCTCTGCTTTTAACAATTCAGGTTGTACAGAGGCACTGGGTATGATGCGCGGAACAATCACTGATACCCAGATAACTGCATCATCAGAACTGGATAACACCCATTCTGCTGCACAGGCCAGGCTGAATTCCAAAGCAAATGGAAGCAAATATCAAGCCTGGTCAGCACATGAAAATGATCATCATCAGTGGCTTCAAATTGATTTTGGAAGCTCCACCAAAATTACACGGCTGGCCACTCAGGGACGAAATGGCTTTAATGAGTGGGTGACCAAGTACAATTTAAGTTACAGCGACGATGGTGTACATTTTCATTCCTACAAGATGATGGGAGAATCAAGGGCAAAGGTATATCAACAAACTGAGTTACAGTTTGGCATTTTGACTCTCTACAAAGTTTTAGATGCTGCTGTCGTCAGAAGGCAATTACCTTATTATGCATTTCAACAATCTTAATCGTTTATCAATCAAATGCAGAGAAGATCATCAGAGTTAAGTATACAACTTATGTAGTTGCGAAAAGAAAGCCTGAAAAATTCCTCCTTACCGAGATTCAAACCCTGAACTATGCAATACCTGTGTAGTGCTCTAACCAATTAAGCTAACAAGCCAGCTGGGAGCTGGTCAATAAATTCACTGTAGGCCACTTTCGAGTTCCAAAAACCCTCACTTTCAAAATGAGGCCAAGTGCACAACCTTTCTTGTAAAAATGAGTTTTTATTTGCATGAGAATGAAAAATCATTTCCTAATCAAAGGCTGAGCACTTAACCTCGTTTTGGTAACATACCCAAGAAGGATGAAGATGAAATGAGGAATATTCATGTATGAATCTCGGCTTCTTTTCGCGACTGCATAAGCTGTGTATTTAAGTGTAATGATCTTGTCTTCATTTATTTCATAGTGGGTCATATTCATCATGTTTATCGCGTTTGTCAGAAAGCATCCTAATCTTGGTGGTCCTGTGGTACAAAGTCACAAATTTTCGAGGTATCGGGGACGACTGCCAATTAACCGTCCCCACTGATGTTATCAGGGTCATCTCGGCCGGGAAACTGGACTCCTTCCAACTCGATTTCGTTTCCGCAAGTGACAAACGTGGATCTGTAATTAATGATTATCTCTAGTCAGTAGTTGTAAAATTCAAAACCCCAGCAGATTATCTTTGCATAATTGTTTATAGGTGTTTGAAGGAAACCAAGACAGTGACACTGCTGTATACCACGCTCTGACTCCACCAATCACAGCTCGGTTAGTTCGGTTGTTGCCTGTCGAGTGGCATAATCACATATCTTTGAGAACAGAGTTCTACGGTTGTCCAGGTAAGTGGTTCAGACCTCCCGAGGAAAGGTACTCGTGGGAATTCTTGAAGGCGGTGTCCCGTCCGGTTCTCCAAATCCTAACCCTCTTTCAGACCAGAAGCCCATAACTTGGAGCAAGCAACTCCCATACTCGGCCTATGTCACGGCAATTTTATGGAACAGTTTATTTTTGGATACATTTGAGGGCACTTTTTCCCGCGAAAATAGAATCTCTACCATGTCTATGTGCGCAATCGAAGTACAAGATATCAAAAAGGAAAACTAAATGTTATTAAAAGGAACAAAAATATCATTTTTAGGTCTGTAGGTTTTGCTGACTGGTTTGTGGAGTTCAAAAGATATTCAAAATCCGCGCCAAAACCGTTCTAAAAATAAACTGTTTCGTGAAAACGAATGCATGGAAGTTGCTCGCTCCGAGCTATGGGCTCCTGTTCAGAGCAAAAACTATCATTCTCCACAGCCGATTTTAGACCTGGCCTCTAATCTCCATACCTATTTTCAGACCTGGAAGAGGTCCCAAAAAGCAACATACACGTCTACATAGGCAGAAATTATGTCATCATTATTTACGTAGATTAAAACGCCTACAGAAAGACCCCATCTTTCGTATTCATTCGGAGTTAAAACGAGAAATACGTTCCTACACTCTTGTAGTTCCCCCGAAAACCATACCCACCCCCAGAACTCATACACTTAGAATCTACCTCTCGGTGTTACAAAAACCATTTTGGTAACAAAATTTTGACTAAAAATCTTGTATCTAGAAAGTCCGTTTCATTATTTTGTTGAACTATTTGACTGTTGAACTGTTTATTAATTATTACAAATTCCAGTTTACAAGCACGCAATATGATGATGATGATGACGATATTGATGATGATGGCAAGAATGCAAGTTATTTAGTTGGCATAAAAACAGATTGCGTAGTAGTTACACCATTGTTCAACAGACTGCCAGTACTTACTGCATATTCTGTTTATTCTGAGTTTCTCTCACAGCTGTGAAGCATTTCCTGTTGATCCTACTATTTAGTAACTTTTGATGTGTTTTTAAATACAGGTTGCATTGCTCCCCTCGGCATGGACAGTGGAGCAATAACTGATGCCCAAATAAGTGCCTCCTCACAGTGGAGTAACAATTATGCTGCATCACGGGCCAGGTTGCACATGCGAAGAATTGGTTACCAAGGAGGATCCTGGATAGCTCGTAAAAATGATCTCAACCAATGGCTTCAAATAGATCTTGGTGGCTACACTACATTAACTCGTGTTGCGACACAAGGTAGAAGTGACGCCGATCAGTGGGTAACTAAATACAAATTGCAGTACAGTGATGATGGGGTGATATTCCAGTTCTACAAAGAGCCACAGAAGACCGCAGCAAAGGTATACAGAATGTCAGAGATGCCGGCGTTATAGTTGTTTCCTTTCATAAAAGAAGATTGAAGTACATGTACTGGTTTGACCCTTTAAGCCCTAAGAGTGATCAGCATCAAATTTCTCCTTGTAATGTCAATGCTTTGTAAAACAGAGTGGTCATGAGAATTAAGGACATGATCACACAAGAAGAATTTGCTTGATATTTTATCAATTTCTCCCCACTACTTCTGTAGGAAATGAATAGAGGAAACAAAGGAGAACTCAAACTTTCATCTTAGGGTTTAAAGGGTTAATAATCCCGGAGGGCAAGTCCCATTTCGGTTCTTTTTAAGTGGAGGTATCCTCTGGAAAATCTGGACCATTTACAGAGATAATGAAATGTCCATACATGTAGATCGTGAATTTACAGACTTTTTATACGACTGCGAATCTTCCCTCCTTTAACATAATTTGTCTACTACAAAATGTTTGAAGAATCGGTTTTCCAGACATTTTATACAGTTTTAACGTGAGTTTTTTATAACAGCTAAAATTTCCGAAAGTTTGGGGATAGAAAAATTCGCTTCGAGTTTTACGCTTTGTAGCTTTTCCCTACCATTTCCTTCCAAACAACCGTGTCTTGTGCGATTGAAGTACAGTGGGCAGCCAGTTTGGTTAAAACCAATGCCGCGAAACATCCTTTTAAAACTGATATCCTATAACTATGCTACATTGTATCAGATGGTATCCCTTCTCTAAAATGAGCAAAGAAAGCTTCTTATTACGGTTTGCCTTATTCACAGCTAGTTTACAGCCCTTTAACCCTTTAAGTCCCAATAGTGACCAACATCAATTTTCTCCTAACAGTATCCATACATTGTCAAGAGATTAGGTTATGAGAATTAATAAAATGATCACCTAGGAGAAAATGCTTTGATCTTTTATCAAATTCTCTCAACTCATTCTTTAAGGAATTATATCGAGATCAGTTTGGAGAATTTGTATGTGGATATTGGGACTTAAAGGGTTAAGCCCCAATATCCACATACAAATTCTCCAGACTGATTTCCGTACATTTTCTTCTATAATAGTGACTTTTAGATTCAAGGACGAGAACGACTACGAGTACGAGATTTTATTTAAAGTTTTTTCGCGTATTATCAAAAAATAGACTCCCCAGAATTCTTCATTGTACTTTTTTTCACCAGAAAAGTTTGCACTGTTATCGTTATTGAAGGAGGTTGAGCCTTCTCCAGATTGCAAAATACTAAAACTTCTAACATTTGATAACTTGTTCCCGCCACTACGACACTCTCGCTAAAACTCGTAGTAGAATAACGACGGCTACCACTTTTTCCCGCCAAAATGACGCTGCCTCACGCGCGAGCACTACTTAGTATTGAGAAAATCTCGTAATCGTAGTCGTTCTCGTCTTAGAATCTAAAGGTCTCTAATTAGCTGGGAGAATTTGATCAAAGATCAAAGCATTTTCCCTTTAGTGATCAGTTTATTAGTTCTTGTTACCTTTTCTCTTGATTTTTTTTCTTACGGTATTGTTGGGAGAAAATTGATGTTGGCCACTCTTGGATGTAAAGAGTTAAATTTGAACTCTTTCTTTCCTTGGATCATAACTCAGGTATTTCGAGGAAACCAAGACCGTAACACCATTGTTTACAACATTTTGAACCCACCAATCACAACGCGCTTCATTCGAATCAAACCGGTGGAGTGGAAAAGTTACATATCCATGAGGATGGAGATCTACGGGTGTCCAGGTATTTAAACTTAAAGAGATCATTGTTTAGATCATTAAGCCCCGTGCAAACGGACGCAACATTGTTGGCCAACAACTCCCAACATTGCTGGATGTTACATGTTGCGTCCGTTTGCACACCCTGTTGCATGTTGTTGGATGTTTTTGTGTGTTGTTGCGCAAAGTTTGAAACCAGTCAAACTTTTCAGCCAACAAATCCCAACATTTCTTTTGTTCCGTGATCACTGAAGCGTAGCGCAGCAATGTTATATCCCTTTGCACAGCTCGTCCAACATTGTTGGGGCCGCGCAGGCTCATTACGCATGGTTTACAAAGACTTACGGGTTGTATCCTTCCCACGATGCACTGCAGGTTCCAACATTGTTGGCGCAACAATGTTGGAAGTTGTTGCGTCCGTTTGCACGCAGCCTTACTTAGAACATTTGAATCCACTCGACGTAACGCGTTTCATTCTACATAGAGTCCTGTAGGTTCCAAGACAGGGAGGAGTACGAGGAGCATATTTTCTCAATACTAAGTAGTGCGCGCGCGTTAATAAGCCTCATTTCGGCGAAATAGCCGTCGTTATTCAACTACAGATTTTAGTGTGAATATCGTAGTAGCGGAAGCAAGTAATCATTTGTTAGAAATTCTTATTAAGTAGGTGTATGTGAAAGAGGTACCGTATTTCAATGGAAGGTACCATAAAATTCCGAAAATAAGCCCTGGGGCTTATATTTTTCAAAGGCCCCTTTTGAGGGGCTTATTTTTGGAGGAGCTTATAATCGGAGGGGCTTATCTAAGGAGGGAAATTTGCGTTTCAAAATCGACTGGGCTAGCCTTATAGTTGGAAGGAAATTGACCGTTTTTCCTTTATTTTAGTTTGTGTTTGAGGGCAATTTCCAAGTACAAGCCCCCGGGGGGCTTATATTCGGAGGGGCGATTTAACGGAGGGTTTTTTTTGCTTTACGAGTATGGGGGGCTTATATTTGCATGGGCTTATACATGGAGCGGCTTATTTTCGGAATTTTACGGTATACGAAAGGCGTTGCTTTCCTGTCAAAAATGATATATGAAAGGGTAAGGGGCTGGATCTTGCGGGGAACTTCCCCGCATAAAAGTTTGTTGAGTACCGGCCTCCCTCCCCCCGGGAGTTTGAAAGAGCGGTAAGGTATTTCTTACTTGGGTTTTGTACGGAAAGGGATTAAACTATGCCTAAGTAACAAGGGTATTAAGCTATTTTGATGTTTCTGCCTGTAAAACAAATCTAGCCTGTACGACACCGCTTGGTATGGAAAATAGGGCTATCCCTGATTCATGGATAACCGCCTCATCGTCAAGTGACAACAAACACACCGCTTGGCAAGCAAGGCTACATCTATCAGCTGATGGCGGCACGTGGGGAGGTTGGTCGGCTCGTCACGATGATTTCGGTCAGTGGCTGAAGGTAGAACTTGGTGGTTACACAACTGTAACACGTGTAGCGACACAAGGAGGGAGTGGACGAAATGAATGGGTGACAAAGTACAGATTACAATATAGCAACGCTGGGAATATTTTCAAGTATTATAGGTTGACAGACAACAGTTCAGCAATGGTAAGTACTCAAAGCTCAGTCGACGTATTTGGTAAGTCTCGCCGTTAGATAGAACCAGCCTCGTCTTAAGTCGTCCTTGACGATTTAGGATGTGGCGTCACCTGTCAAGCTTGTGGGGGACGCCTCGCGCTATCGCACTTGGTTAATGGCTTCCTCTACTCACTCGTATAGTGCGAATTGGCCTAGAAACGATGTCCAACCGTCCAACCGAAAACAGGAGTGATGCATTACGTGGCAAACCACGTTGGAATGGGACTCTAAGGTTATATTTTGTTGTTTGATCGATCGTTGCGCGTAAAATTGCTTGCAAGTGCATGCCAATTTATGTGATAGTTTTGCCCAGGATTGTGTGTAATAGATCTCGAAATAAAAGCAAGAGGAAGTAGCAGTTAAGTTAGCAACAACTTTTGCGACGCGGAGAACGTGGTCGATTAAAGTTTATTACCAATGTTCGCTGGAAGAGTTGCAGATTCCCGTCTGCGCAAAAATTAACGCATCACCCAAACCGGTTTTAGCAAACACGGGTCTTTAAACTTCCAGTTTGTCATGATCAGCCATGCTTTTGTCTCTTCTGTTTCGAGAAACGGGTGCCCGGTGAGTGGACATAATTATATTT